ACACCCACACCCACACCCACACCCACACCCACACCCACACCCACACCTTCATCATTTTCTCCACCACCACCACCACCATTAACTATTGATGAAAATGAATTACATACAGAACCTCATGAAATTGAAATACTGTTGTCAGAACAACAGAAACTCAAAAATGAAAAAGAAGAACTTGAAAAAATGATTAAAAACAAAGAAGAAGAAATAAATAAATATATAAATAGTGAGTATCTGAGGATTTATTTAATAGTTGATGTCATTATCAAGTACTTGATGTTTTAGGTTTAAGCAACTATTGTTCTTTGGGTGTTCAAATTAAAAGTAAATTATATGATGAAGTATTAATCAAAGTATGTAAATATATTCATTGAATAAGTTTTTAGAATATATTTAATAATTCTAGTTGTTTGATGATAAAGCACCAATAACATGTTGTAAGTTGTTGTTTATTTTCTTTGATATTTTTCTGAATTTTTAAATAAGTTTCAATGAAATATTTTCAAGTTAATTTTCTATAATTGATACAGATAAATAGGAGCTTATTATTTTTTTTGTTGAACATTTAAGTGAACATAATATGAATTGTCATTCGATCGAAAAAGAAATGTGAATTGTTTGATAAAGATGTATGGATCTATTTCCATGGATAAAAATAGTATAATTGATTCAAACTAATTTATATATATATATATTGAATAATATATATATTTTCTATTTACTTCAAAACTCTAATTTAATTTGTAAGAAAAAAACAAAAAAATTTTTGCATATATTATTTTCTAGATATTTCTATAACTAGATACTTGAATTGTTTCATATCTCAAATGATATGACAATAAGACTACTTATTTATATCATATTTAAAATTTCTATTCATTTAACTTTTAAAGAAATCACAAAAAAAAAAGAAAAAAATATTTGACTTTTCCATAGAGTAGAGACATACATTAATAGAACACGAATATTAACATTTTAGAGCGATTTTTGTTAAAAAGCATTAAAATTTTTCAGACTAAATCTCTGAGATAATGCAGACACACATTGACAGTTGAACGTGTGTTGATTGGATTGATTATTTAATATGTTGTAACTGGCATAGCAGATATGAGTTTCTCAAAGTTTTAATCTTATAGCTTGTATTTGTGAGATATAAGACTGATAATATTTTTCATCACTTCTATGAATATTTCTCAAATAAGCATTTTTTTAAAAATGTTTTTTGTTATCTCTCTTTGTTGATTTAGACAATCAACAAATTATATGAATTTCTATAGATTAGAACATTGATTCTGACTTACTCTAACTATTTATTATTAAAACTGTGATGAGAAAGCAGAATAAAGATGATTATACTAAATGACATATTCAGATACTATGATAAAACTTGGCGAAAAACAAGTCATATTTGTATGTCTTACTATAGGGAGAACTAACAAGATAAAAAGCTGAAGTTTTTATCATAGACTCAAGATATAATGACATAGAATTGATAAAAATTTCACTCGTAGGTTATAAGATTTAGGAGGTTAATGAGAGAAATAATTTTGACGAAATAATCAAAGATAATAGTATGGATACGGATATAAAAATCATTGAAAGTATTGAAGATTCTATAGTAATATTTGTTCTTTTCATGATTTTCTTTTCAAAAGTTATAACCGTTTTATTGAGTTTATGACTCATCCCCATATATTTACTAAAAAAAAAAAATCAAATAATGGAATTTTGACTTGAAATTTTTCCTATAGATAGATATAATAACCACCTTAGATTATTTGGAGAGTAACATGTAAAAAAAACAATGTTCCTTTTTTGAAATATTCATATTATAACACAATAGGATTTTTGTAATCTTTTTATAGCAAGAGACTAGTTTTTGAAACAAAAAAATAAATATTTCAAGAAATAAACTGTTTTTACATGTAATTCTCCGAATAATCTATATGGCTATCATACCTATTCATAGGTAAAATTTAAGGTCGAAATTTCATTATTTTATTATTTCGGTAAATACAGGGATGAGTCATAAACTAAATAAAATGATCATAACTTTTGCAAAGAGAGCCATGGAAAGAGATTCGTTTACAATTTTCACTATCTCAATATACCTGATCGAACGAAATATAAATGGAATCAAAACGGAATGTAGCCCCTTGGAAGGTTATCTCGTTAGAAAAATTTCCGTTAAGAATTCATATAAAATAAAGATTATTTATGATCATGTTCTTTTTAATTCATATACAATAGAAATAGTTTTAAGAAAAATATTTAAAAAAAAAAGAAAGTTAAATAATTTAAAGAATATGAAAATTGACTAAAAGTTTTTTGTTTTATTTTAATTATCGAATATAAACATTAAAAGATCATTATTATTATTTCATAGAAAATTTTATTTTATTTGACAAGAAAAAAAAAACTACATAATAAATAGAATCTTCTATCTATTTAAAGTTTTTTAAGATGATTTTCATCAATATAACATATAGAAGAAGAGAAAAGGAAAAAAATAAAGATATCACCTTTTCATATATAAGTTTCATTGATATTTGCTTCGTAAGTTTTTTAAAATATCATCTTAGAAATTTTTTTCCTAGCATCAGCAAATAGTTCTATTTTTTTCAACAAGACTATCATATCTTCAAAAATCAAATTGAATTCCATAAAAAAACTAGGAGTGGGAAGTTACCGTTACCAATTATTTTTTCCTGGTAACTTCTCAAAAAGACGAATTATCACTTCCATTCGACCGAACATCGCCATTACATTATTTATTCATTTGACCCGTTACCAGGTAACAGGCAACTGTTATCCGTTACCAGTTACCTGGTAACTCCAAACTCTGTTAAATGATGTATTGATGATATTCCGTCGAATGGAAGTGATAACTCGTCTTTTTGAGAAGTTACCAGAAAAAAGTAACTGATAACTTTTTCGTCAGCGTCCGTTACCATTACCGTTCCCGGGTAACGATCTGGGAACGGTAACTTCCCACCCCTAAAAAAAAGCACATTATTCGAACCATAACTCTCGTTTAACGAATCAATCAAAGATTTTATACTATTACAATAATCTTATTAATCAGAGTTAACAATTATATATATATATTTGTTCTTCTTTTCTAGTATATTTTCGTGCTACATGTACAAGACGACATGGCATTGATTTTCAAAATACTTCTTTCAATTATTTGGTTATCAACAAATATATAGAAGGTAAAACATTTTTTAAGAATAAAATAATATAAAGAGTTTTTTTTTCTTTTGTTTTGCTTCAGGAGGTGAAATATTTGCCTATGTACAAAATAATAATAATAGGTAAAAAGTGTAGTTTTATTGACTTATTGTAATACTATTAATTTTCATATATTTAGAATATTAGGAAAAATAAAAAACGAAAATAATGAACTACATCATGATAAACCTGCTTTATTAAGTATGAAGAAAAATGATAATACAACAAAATTCATCATCACACTTGGTAAGTTATTTTTTTCTTTTTATTTCTATTAATAATCTAAATATTTTTTTTCATTTTTAAGGTGAAATGCCATCATTAGATGAAACACATGTAAGTTTCAAATGGATTTTTTTTTTATATTAATTATTAAAACCATCTTATTTAATAGATCGTTTTTGGTGAAATAATGCAAGGATTTGAAGTTTTTGAATTAATTAATAGAGAAGGTATATTTAATTTTAATCTTGATCTATATAAGACTTTTGTTCATCTTTTTTAGCTGTTGATAATATTCTTCGTGGTGGTGGTGGTGCTACTTCTGCTGATGATAGTAGTCTTCATGGTGGTAGTGCTTATTCTGCTCGTAATGCTACTGATTCTGTTGGTATTCATCTTGAAGATATATTAATATATTCTTGTGGTGAAAAACAATAATTTTGTGTTTTTTTTCTATGTACACCAACTTATTGTTCTCATTAGGTTTTTTTCTATATGAAATAAAATAAAAAAGAATGATTTATGTTTAAAAGATTCTTTTTTAAATAACAAATACACGAAAAGTTACTTTTGAAGAGAAGATATTAAACTATTTTTAAAATAATTTAATTTTAAACATTAGTGTTGATCTACTTATAAATATTAAGAGACGCTTCATGAACAAACCAGAGATAGCGAAAACATGGTGGTTAACAGATTTCAAATCTGACCCCATAGGAAGTTAGACCATAGTATACCATAGAATAATCCAAAATATTGCGGTCTAAAGATCTACTGCTGGTCAGCTAGGGTAGACTAAACTAAGACACCCTCAAATATACTCCTAAAAATTGCGAAAAAAACTCAAAAATTGACCTATAACTTTTTATGAATTTTTTCCTTGAAACTTTTTCACTGTTCAAATCGAGTCATATACCAATCGATAGAGCTTGATTTGCTCTACAAAACTGCATATATGATATATCTCCTTTATCTTAAATTAGAACCGAAAAAGTCAAAATATAGTGTGTTAGTGTGCTCTGAAATATTTTTCACTTTTCAGTATTTTGACTAAATGTCCATGTCAGAAGTCGATTGCCAAAAAAAAATTTATATCATTTTGTAGCCCATTTAATTCTGCATCGAATCATATATTGGACATTGTTTTAAAATGGTCACAACTTGAGATACTTAGACTCGAATATCTATTACTGACATCATATTTTATCGATTTTGCACAAAATTAGACATAACCCCGTATTGATATTTGTCAATTTTTTCTTTAAAAACATTTCGCTATTTAAGTTGAATCATATACTATTCGATAGAGCTCGCTGAGCTCTACAAAACAGAATATAGGAAATTTCTCTTTCAATTCAATATAGAATCGAAAAAGTCTAAATACTGTATTTTTCGACATTGCATTCAGTTTGGTCTATCTAGTATTTTGACCAAATGTCCATGTCAGAAGATGACTTCCAGAATAAAAATAATAACGTTTTGTAGCCCATTTAATTCTGCATCGAATCATATATTGGATATTATTTTCAAATGTTCACAATCTCAGATACTAAGACTCAAATATCGGTCGCTGATATCATATTTTATCTATTTTGCACCAAATTAAACATAACACCATATTTATATTTGTCACATTTTTCTTCAGTTTGATAAGAACAGTAATGTATATTCGTCAAATTGTACAATGATGAGTAGTAACTGTTGAAGGACCACTCGATATTACGCTTGTGATAATAAAGAATTGTTTCATTGAATTCTTTAAATGTATTAACATCCTAAAAACTTTTCTCATATGTGATTTTAATTATATGAATTTTGTTTATCTATATATTGTTTTACAAAATAATTTTGGTCGTATGATTGAGCCACCCCAACATGATCTTTATCATTACGAATATCATGAAATTGAATGAGTTAAAAACATTAGATATTATAACAATATTTAATGAAATACATTTGTCGCAAAAATTGTTCGTATAATTTCGATAGTGTTGACATTTTTCGTTCTTCATGGTTTTAATAATTTTAATTATCAAGTTAATTTTTTTTTTGAAAAATAGTAGATCTTTATTTTTAGGATATGTTTACTACAAAGTCGTAAACTGGAATTTCTTTTTAAAATGTGTGTAATAATAAAAATAATACGTCTAGATATTTCTGTTGTTTTTCTTTTTGTTTGAAAGTTATAGTAAAGATATTTGGAAGACTACTACTTCAATGACAAGACTTTATTTTCATATAACAAATATAAAAGGTTATATTGCTAAAAAACATCACATAATATCTTGAGGATAGAAAACGACATCAATATCACATGAGTCGTCCTTTCTCTTTGATGCATTCCTATAATCGGTTTCTTACTGAGTCAGAATGTGATGTTGCCAAGGAACTAGTAGTTGACTCAGTAGGAAGTCAATTATAACAATGTATCAAACAGAAAGGACAACCAATGCGATATTAATATCGTTTTTTATCCGCAAGATATTATTTAATGTTTTTCAGCAATATAACCTTTGTATTTGCTATCGGAAAATAAAATCTTGTCATCGAAGTAGTAGTCTTAACTATAAATATCTAGACGTATTATTCAAACATATATGATTTTCAAAAATCATGTTTTTTTTTTTTTGAAAAAAAAGATAAAAGATAAAATTAGCTCTAGTATTGTATTTTATTATTTTGAAAAAAAAAAAAAGAAAATTTATCGACGACTACGTGATACAGATTGTAAAAGTTCAATAGGAATGGGAAAGACAATAGTTGAATTACGTTCAGCAGCAATTTGTGTTAATGTTTGTAAATATCTTAATTGCAAAGCAATAGGTGATTCATTAATTGTATCAGCTGCTTCTTTTAAACTACGACTTGCTTTCATTTCACCTTCAGCTGCAATTATTTTTGCACGTGCATCTCGTGATGCTTCAGCTTCAGCTGCCATAGCTTTTTGTAATGCTACTGGTAAACGAACATCTTTTACTTCAACACGTTCAACTTTAACACCCCAAGGATCAGTTGCTTCATCGAGACCCGTCTTTAAATAAACAAAAAAAAACAAATTAATTAAAACAATATAAACGAAAATAAATCTTCATACTTGAATAACATTATCAATTTTATCTCGTTCAGCAAGAATTTCCTGAAGTGTTTTAGTACCTAAAACCTAAATTGAATAATTAATATATATAAAAATGAATGAAAACAAAAACAAATCTTCTAAAAATTACATTTCGAAGTGTTGTTGCTGCTAAAAGTTTTGTTGATTTTGCTGCATCTTCAACATTTGTTATTGATATAACAGCATTAAATATTCGAAAATATACAACAGCATCAACTGCTACTGTGACACTATCTTTTGTTAAAATTTCTTGTGGTGGAACATCAAAAGTTACTGTTCGAAGATCAACTTTACTATAGGTATCAATACATGGTAAAATAAAGAATAAACCGGGTCCTATTATATATAGAAAAATAAATTAAATTTCTTGTTTAATTATTGAAGAAAAATGAATTATCAATTATATAGAATTAATCCTTTCAGTTCGAGCGATACGAAATATGATTTATGTGTTAAGATTGTCTATACTTACTGATGGTTATTAGTTGTCCCTTAATTCTTTGAGTACGAGATAATTTTTATCTAGTAAAAAGGACAGGAGACGGTTGATACACAAATTGGCCATATAAAAATTTTTTGATTCAAAACCCTAACTATGTTATACCAAACGAAAGAGTTCGGTGAGTTGAGCACTTTTTGTGACGGAACTTGATCTTTTAAATGAAACTATGAAGAGTTCTGTTTGATATAACGTAGTTGAGATTTCAAATCAAAAACTTTTTATCGAGCCGATTTGCCTGTCAACCGTTCCCTGTCCTTTTTACTATATAAAAATAATCTCAGACTTAAAGGATTAATAAGATTTCTTGGCATAAGGTTATACAATTATTAGACAGGTAACCAGTTTTACATTGTCGATAGATTTTTACATATCGAGAAATTTTATATAAAAAAAAAAAAACGAAAGTGAAACAACAGGTATTAACTATTTGACTTTTGCTTTGCAAACATTATTCAATCTATATTTTCTCTAAATCTTTAAATTTCAGAAAGAAAACAAAATAATCAAATGTTTTATCTATTCTGTCAACATGTATTAACTATATATTTATGTTTGTTATCTATTGTCATATTAATTATTTGATAAATATCAAGCATAAGTGTATGTATTTGTTTGCAGAAATATATATATAGAACTGAAAATCAAAATGTATAATGTAAACAAGAATTAATGGGAAAATAACGAATGATATAAAAGTTCATGGATAAATTGTGTATCAGCTAAAACATGTTTCGAACAAAATAATCAAAACTATGAATTTTGGAAACTAAGTTGAAAGCTGTTTTTTTTAATTGTATGAAAGTAACTGAATAGAATTTTTTGACTTTTCCGAAACATGTTCTAGTCGATCAAAAAAAAAACAAAAAACGAAGCGACATTTTTACTTACCACGTGCTGCATTTGCTAAAATACGGCCAAGTCGAAAGATAACAGCTCTTTCATATTCTTGTACTACCTATTATTTATTTTTTCAAAAAATATAATTAATCAATATATATAAATATACATACTTTAAGACAGAAACATAAAGATAATGGAAATGTAACAATGACAAGAAAATAGCTGAGAACAATTAATACACCAAAACAGTAACCTGATTGTTCACGTGTATATTTAAGGTCTAAAAAAAATCAAAAAATTGAAATTTTTCTAAATTATTATTCAATATATTATGATCTAGTTGAGTATGAAGGCACAAAAAAAAGTCAAAAATTTTACCATAAAAATCGGAATGACGATGACTTATTGCTAACGATTGTGGATCTAAATTAGTTCCTGATGATGACGAATGTTGACTACGATTAGAAAAATGCTGAGAGTCTTGACAACTAATAATACGTGATAAATTTCCATGATCATATCGTCTTTCATTACGAAAATACAACATTCTAAATGAATATTTCCTTGCTGTTTTCTTCTTCTTATTAGTTCATCTATGATTAGATCGTCAATAAATATAAGAGCAAAATGTTGTGTACACACTCAAATTCGATGGCAATGATTTGCTATTATAATTGACTAAACGTGCACATTTTCTTTCTCTACATGGAACATACTAGTCTTCTTTATCTATCTAGAAATCTTAGTTTTACTTGCTCAACAATATATATATATATATAATTATATAAATTTTGTTAAGCATCATTCTAGCAAATGTCACTACTATCGAATAGATATTAATTTTCCAATGTGTTCTAATTCGTTGATTGTTTTCTTTCTATCATATGGTAATTATGATAGAAAAGACAAGATCAGTAAATAACATGGAAAAGAACAATCGATCAGCCTTCTTGTTTTTTTTTTATTGTTACCAATAGCCTTATATCATGATACATGCGTTAGTCTATAAAAAAAAAGAGTAGATAAGACATGACAATAATGTTAAAAGATCATCATCAAACACGACAAGGTTATGTTTCTATACTGAGATATTGTTTATATATTAATCTATATGAAATAAACTATATTAAAAGGCATGATATTATATGTACATCATATCTCTATAATATGACATGAAGAAAAATTATTTATCATTCATATCATAAAACAAGAGATTTATTATGAAAAAAATTTTAGTTATCTTATTTAGAAAATATTTTTGATGTAATAAACATTTCTAAATTCAAGAAATCTAATAATGAGATAAATAAATAACAAAAAAAAAATGTATACTCTTAATTAACATACCGTCTGTAGCTCGACGTACAAATGTTTGAGGTGGAATAAGAAATGAATTTCTAGAAAGACGTCGAGCCATATTATTGTCAGCACGTTGAGGTGGTTGTAACATTGGTGTAAGATATTCATCGGCACTCATTGAACCAAATTGTGTTCGATAAACATCAGGTCGAGTTGATGCTCGTCTGACACCATATTGTGCTGTATAGGTAAATGCGCCAGAAGCTCCACCAGTTTCAGCATCAATCATTGATGCATCAAGCATTTTATACGTAGGTGATAAACGGAAACATACGATTTATCGTCGTTATTTCCTATTTTTCTTTTTTGCTATATTTCAATGTATTTCTAAAGAGTTGTTGACATACATATATTTTCTTTCCACAATCTTTTGCTATTATAGAATACTGTCGTCACCTGTTCTTGCGAGAGTTTTTGTTTTCATATATTTAATCTATCTATATGTGGATACTATTTCACGGTCAGTTTAATAGACAAAACGGCTGATGTCGTGCTGATTGACAAGCAACTATACAAACATTCAACCAACGAAGATAAGATATCATTAAGAGAGAATCCGCTAGTTTTCTCTCATCTCTATTTTTCCTTTCTTCTTTTTTTCTTCTTTCTTCTCTATTTCTTTATTTTGTATTGCTTGTTTTTGACGATGATTAGCACTCGACTTGTTGTATTTATCAAATTTCTTTCTTGCTTGTCCTTCATCGATTATCTGAAGAAAAAAAAAACGATACTCTATGAATGTAATTACTTATTCGCGTAAGTTAACGATAATAATGATGATGATCATCATCATCATCATCATCATTTATTAGATCAAACTCGTTATAAAAAAAATGTTTCTTTTTCTCTCTTTATATCTGTTCGTATAGCAGTAGCATGCATAATAATCAGAAATCGAATTATTTATTCATCAACATCTTCTTGTTGGTTAAGACGTTCTTCACAATCTATTTCAATACTCTTGAATGACTCGACAGTTATTTGCTTAAGCAATGAGATAGATAAAAAGAAAATGAAATGCAAGCAATTGGGATATAACAATATCTGCACTTGATTAATCAAGTGTTTATATGTTATAAAACCAGTATTATAGGATACTTGACCTTCAAACATATATATCTATAGTAATGAATAACATTAATTTGCATGTATTAGACGTATGGATATAACTAGATAACTGTCAATGTATCAACTTGGTTTTCATCAAATAATTATTGATTTAAAAAAAAGAATTCTTTTCATTGTATGGTTCAACTAGAACACTTATTTTTATTTTTGGAAGAAATTATAATGCATTGCATTCATCGATAATGATAGTTTCTCATCTTTTGAATCAAAGAAAAAAAAAGAAAACCTATGAATTATAATCTCACTATCAGTTATTCTTAAGATCAATAAAACTGATTGACCTTAATTTTTATCTAGATATGAAAGCAAAAAAAAAATTTGCTTGAATCTCATAAAATCAATTTCTCATTATTTCACTATATGAAATGCTTAAAAAACAATTCAATTACATATTCTTTATCTTTGTTGAAAAAAACAAACAGAGAAAGCAATAAGACGATAGTTATTTGCTATTGTTATTCTTTCTATTTAGCCTTAGGCTAACAAGAAGAAATTCTATGAATGGAATACATACAATTAACAACAATTTGAAGAAGAAAAAAAAAAAGATCGAAATAAACGAAACCTGAACAATGTTACTATATGATGTACTTATAAAAAAATAGAAGGACATTTGAATATTGATTCATTTTTTTTGTGGTTGTACAGAATTGAATTGATACTACGAAATCAATTTTATTGTTTTGGAATCATATGAAAATACATTCGATTATAAAGATTCATGGTGATTAGAACATTTCGATTTCTCAGAATGTGACATAGCTGACGAGAAAACACCCAAATTGATACCCCGCCATTTGAGCTCATATTGAATTCACAAGGAAATTTTGGTAAGATTAGAAAAATTCTAAAAGGATTTGTACGTATAGGTCACTGAAGTCGAGTTATGACAGTTTTATTCAATTTTCGATCTGAAATTTCGTCCATAAACCATTCGAATCTTGAAAGTTTCAGCTAAAAAGACTGTTCCTTTGTCGAGATATTAAATTTTCAAGTCAACTCAATTTTTGTAGCAATCGATCACTTTTTTGGAAACTTAATATCTTAACAAAGGAATATTTTTTTCAATTGATATTTTCTGGATATTCTACTATTCATTCGACCTGTTTATGAACGAAATACTATCTCTACAGTATACATCGAACCGATGTTATCGTTGCTTCAGTGTTTTATGCGATTTTAATATAGAATTTTCTAAAATATCAAGTACAGAGTTTCCGATTATAGAGAGAAGCAAAAAATGATGGTGGAAAGTCTGAAATTTTGCGGGGGAAAGCTCCTCCCTCCTTAATCTAGAACTTTGATCAAGTATATAGTATCATACTTTGCGATAAAAGCTTATTTTGGTGCTATTATTCGTTCATCTTTGTTTGTGAATTAAGAAGAGAAATGCAAACAAACACAGAAAAAATATCTTTATTTTTTTATTAATTTTATCGATCGTTTATTCTACAAAACATTAGAATAATACTATTCAAAAAAATTCAAGTCTTCATCAAGTAATCGAAAAAAACGAGCTGTATTAATCGTATTGCATTGTATACGAACAACTAAATGTCATGTGTTATAGTTGGTTGTTTTTCTGTTGAATCGTTTCATCAATATTTCTGTTATCTAAACAGGAAGAAAAAGAAAAGATAACACAGTATACTTGTTTTCATCAACATCAAAACGATTGATTATTTCAGCATTATGACACATGAACCATTTTTTAGCCTTATACAACACATTTTTCGAGTTCCATTAACATTAATGTTCTGCAACTAGTCGAATGCTGAACATAATCCTACACCTACATGTATGTATTTTTGTCATCAACCAACTAGCTAATGTATACTTAATGGAATTGATCGGATCTTAGAAGTAGAAAAACACCAAGTGAATCCTGAATCACTTGCTTTTTTTTCTTGTTGCTGTTTGTGGAAGAAACTATATAGTATACTTTTTCATATAAAATAAAAGTTTGTGGCTGTGAAAGTATCTGCCGAATGTCGATTAGCTCCGGTCTGGATCTGGTTGTCAAAAAGTCGTACCCGTCAGGACACTAATTAGTACAAATGTATACTTTTTCGAGTTATACTACAGTGATGGATTATCGTCAGATGAGCACATTCATTGAATGGTATTAAAGTAACTTTATTAAATATAACCAATTTTAGAATTTATTATTTTTTATATATAGTATCAGCATATCTAACGAAGTTTCGATAAATTATTGAAACAATACAGTACTATACATTTGTAAAATATTAGCTACTAACATATGATTTTTATTTAATGGTATGACTGTTGATCTCTGCATTTTAAATGTTTCAAAAAGAAAATTAGAAATAAAATTATTATTAACATTTATCTTTGTATTAATAGTATATGTTTGAATGAAAGTCATTTTCTATGTTTATTTCATAACGTGTCTACCAAACTAGCAAAACGATATAATGAAAGGACAATATAGTATTTGTTTTCATATGTATTTTTACATGAAAAATCATTGATAAAGTTTTTCACATCTTCATAGAAGAAAACAACGAGAAACTTTTCTTTACCTTTACACATCTCTGTATTCAGTTATATGTTTATGTCTTACTATGAATAACAAGTAATCTTGGATACTTACGTATAATAATGATTTCATCATGAATAATTAATAAAATTTATTTATAGTTTAGTAAGTATTGTTACAACATACAATTGAATGTTTTGTGAAAATAATAGATTTCAAAATAATTTTCTCTTATATAGTATCAGTCAAAAAAAAAAAGTCCAGAGTTCTCTTCTTTCGACTGCATGGAATTACAAATTGCTAGCAATTGCCATTGTCAAGTTATTGAACTTAGATACATAAGCATTCAACTATAATTATCTTGATTTCATTTAGATTTGAAAGTTATAAATTGATAAATACATGTCATTTTACTGTTGTCGATAAAAACGAGAATGTTCGATCCTCATCGATCGAGATGGTTATATTCTACAATACTTATTCTTTCTATTAACCCTCAGGCTAATCTAATAATAATTTCTATGGATACAAGACATACAATAAATGTTGATGTAGTTTATAAAAGTAAAAGAGTAAAAAAGAAATTGAAATAAACAAAACTTGAAAAATGTTTTCAACTGAGGTAATAATAGAAAGCAAAAAGAAAAAAAAAAGAAAATTAATTAATTAATTCTTTTTTTTTTCAATCAATAGGCTCTACAGGATATTGCTGAAGATGCTGCATCTGAATTAGGTGATGATGCTTATTATCAAGATGATGATTTGGCAGAAGAAACTGATATAAAAACAAATATTGAAGATAATTCTAATAGGCCAGCAACTACTAAATCTGTTCATTTACAACAATCACGTCCACGTGCATATGATTTCAGTGCTAATAATCTTAGACGTGATCAAACTATAGAACGTATTATTGATTCACGTAGATCAAGTATTATTGAAAATGAATATACAAATTTAGCACAAATAACATCACAAAATCGTCGATCACCACATGTTGTTCGTTTAAATTCAATAAAATCACGTTCTATGACAATTCAAACGGAAAATGATATACATAATAATGATATAAAAGATCGAATAGTAAATTCTCAAAATAGTAAAAATATACCATTAACATCTACACTTCAATTTGATAATGAAAAATGGGATGATGGATTAAATACTGATTTTGATAAACGTAAAATTTCGAATATAATATAATGAAATTAATAAATGAAGAAAACAAAAAACATAATTTTCTTTATTTTTTTTTTCTCTCTCTCTTCATAGAAAGTATTGCATCAATAGATAAATCAAGTTTACAAATTTATGAAGATACATGTAAACGATTAAATATTTGTCCATGTTCAATGATTATACGATCATTAAATACAACAAAAATTAATTTAGAAAATTATGGACTTGGATCAAAAGGATCAGCAGCTTTAGCTGTAGCTCTTGTTGTAAATTCTTTCTTTTTCTTTTTTCTTCTTCTAAATAATATTTTCTAAATATTTACATTTCTTTTATGAATATTTAGCGTAATACAACTGTTGTATCACTTAATTTATCAGGAAATAATATTGGTAGTGGTGGTATGTCGTATATCTATCAAATTCTTATGGATAATACATTTATTGAGGAATATGTAAGTAATTTATGCATGGAAATTTTCTAATAATAATATTAAGAGTTCTTTAATATGTGATTTTATTGAAGTTAATATGAGAAACTTTGATTCATCTTGGATTTTTGTTCCTATGGACATCGCATATTTTTATGTTACTGAATAATAGATAAACTTTAAAATTTGATGATTTAATAATTTAGACTTTTTTTTATTTTTATTTTTTCAATCAATCAATTCGATATTCTATTTCATAGAATTTATCCTATAACAATCTTGGTACAAAAGGTATTCGTAAATTAGCAGCTGGTGTTGTCTCTAATGCTCATATAAAAACTTTAAACATTGCCGGTTTGTATTACTAATCGAAATTTTCTATTTTGACATGTTTATTTCATATAGGTAATGAATTAACAGCAAGTGATATTAATATTTTTCTTTCAAAACTCGAAGTAAGTGATTAATTTAAAAAAAAACAAAAAGAACCAGCTATTTAAATAAATATAAATAGGATCATTCAAACCTTAAAGATCTTAATCTAAGCCATAACAAATTAGATAAAGAAGGTGGAGTCTATGTTGCTAAATGGCTAAGTAAATATTTGTTTTTGTAATATAAAAACTGAAATATAAAAATTTTCTATATCAGGTGATAATAGTACTTTACTTAATCTTGATGTTAGTTGGTGTAGTATTCGTTTAATGGGTGCTCGTGCTCTAGCTGAAGCAATTGGTTCTAATAATAAATTAATTTCACTTAATTTATCAAATAATAGTTTTATAAATGATACTGTAGAATTTTTAACAAATTCATTAACACGTAATATGACTTTAAACATTTTAAATTTATCTGGAAATCAAATATTTTGTCGATATGATACAAGAATAAAAGAAGATCCATCAATATTAATTACTGGAAAAGAATCATTTATTTATAAAATGTTTGTTGCAGCTGCAACAAATCAAGCATTAAAAATATTTCAAGTAGAATAATCAAAAAAAAAAGATTTTTATTTAAATTTATAATTATATCTTATATGAATTTTTATTTAGATAGGAAAAAATCATCTTGATGCACGTTGTATTATGATTATGTTAGAAGCATTATCAAAACTTGATAATATTTCATTAGAAGAACTTGATTTAACTGTATGTTTTATTATTCTTATCATTATTTATTATTAGTTTCATATATAAATAGGGTTTAACATTAAGTTTAAAACAAAATTCTGATATACATAAATTTTTTGAAAATCATCCAAAATTTACATGTTATGTTGGACCAATAAGACAAACAGTAGAACATTTTGCAAATAATCTACTTAATTCAATTCATAAACATTGTAAAGAAAATCAAATTAATTTAGGAAATATATTTAAACCAAATGAAGAAAATTTTATGTCAAATTTAACAATAACTTATGATGAATTTCGTGAAGGATTAAAAACAGTAAAAATACCATTTCCAGTTGCACAAATTGAGAATATTATGAAATATTTGGTTAGTTGGTTGTTTTTTTTTTTTTTTTTTTGAAGACTATTTTTATACTTTCATTTAAAATACTTTGACTTTTATTTAAATAGGGACGAGATGATGATGAAGGAACAATTTCATTCAGGTTCGAAAAATGAATTTTCTGTTTTTTTTTTATTTGATTTATATTTCGTTTATAGTTCACTTGAAATGGAATAAGAAAGAAAATATGTTGACTTTTCGTTTTGTTTTTGTGTTTTTTCTTTTTATCTTCGTCAATATTACTTTACATATCTTAGTCATCGATTCATCCGTGTGTAAATCAATGTAATGGTTTGTCCAGCATCATGTTTTATCAAAATATTTTGATGATATAAATAAACCAACTGTCTTAATGTTACGATTCATTAATAATAAAATTCTATTTAAACGAAATATGAAAATTATTTTTATAAAAACTGACAACAATCATAATTAAATAGTTCAAATGACTAACTTATATTTGGCCATTACATACTTAGCATGGTTTTTTTTTATTCACATATCATACTTGATTGATCACACATATTTTCTCGTATTGAACGTACTTTACACAGGAATGTTGATATCTAATAAATTATTTATTTTTGTTAAGACTATCCTCTCCCTCTCAAAAATGAATCTCAAGTCAGGAACGTTCGAATGACATGAAATTTTCAAGATATGTCGGAGCTGTAGTGAGGAGCTTATGGTAAAATTTTTAGTCCTGTACTATGATGTTTGAGAGAGATATTGTCCAAACAATTCTCTGTAGTCTTCAGTCTATACATTTAATTTTTTTTGTTTGTTTGAAAGAACATGTCAGAATGCAGTGCCTATGAAAGTCCTTTGTTTTTTAAACTCTTACTTTTTAAGGGAAAAAAAGAGATCGAAAGTTCAATGACATCAAAAAAAACTCTCTAAAAATGGCGTTTTAATTATATAAATGTTTGTGCAAAGCTTAATCAAAAAACTCTGGGCTTTCATAGGCGCTGCAGTTTTGCACGTTCTTTCAATCACAAACCAACCTGTTGGCTACGATGAAGCTCTTTTAAGTCTTCTTGGAGATACAATCGAAAACCTATAAAACAAGAAAAAACGAAGTGTCGAGTAAAAATTTTTGTCGTTTATGAGAGATCAGATCACGGGCTATCTTTTCTTACATTTACCTTAACTTCGGTCATTCTGACGAAAAGTGACTTTTTTGAGGGAGGGTGGGGTGCCCTTCAATTACCAAACTGCTGGCCATGCATTTATTTTTATTTAGTGTAATTAATACATGCCATTGATAAAGTGTATCAATGATTTCATTATAATAAATTTTCAATTAAATAACATACTTATGATGAAACAAATGTCAGCTTACAATTTCTTGTTTTTTTTTCCTTTATATCATATGTTTGATGTGGATGAGTAAAATAATTTACATGAAAAAAGAAATTGACTATTAAAAGGCAAACAATCGACAAGAAACAACAGTAAATAATCGGTATATTATTTTTTTTTTGTCAGTTACATTTGTATTTTAAAAACTGATTGCTTCAGTGAAAATAGTTAATAGAATCAGAAAATTCTTTTTCATTGCTATATATTCTGAGTACTTGATGTATACCTGCTGTTAATTTTTTGATGGTATGACTCATATTGAAGTTTTTTTTCTTTTGCTGATTTTTGTTATGTTTGACACATATATTTTTATTCGATTATGTGCCATAGCATTACTGACTGTACATTTTCTTGCAAAATATTCGTAAATATGATGAAGCAAAATTAAAATCGAGAGGAAGAAAAAATAAATACATGTCAGAATAATGATGATTCTGACGACCAAAAAACCAATAGAAGAAAATGAAAGAGGACAAACCAAAAGCATTAATAGCAACAACAAAATACATTAAAACAACTTCAATTTATTTATGAATATCGTATGATTTTTTTTTTCTCTTTTAATGTCATTTTGTTATTAAAATGTACGTACTGTGTGAAAAAGTGACGTTTAACATTCTATCGTTATTTCGTTTCCCTATATATATATCTCACATGTTTCCCAGGACAGAAAAGAGAAAGAACAACATATATGGCCATCTGTCTTTCGAACTAAATTATGTCAGGAATGAGAATTATTTCAATGCAATCTGCGTTTATTTCTCACAATATGTTCGTTATTGTTTCTTTTTATTTCAAATGAATGAACGAAAGAGAACGAATAATAAATTCTAAGGAAACATAAAATTCTTTATTCTGTTTTTTTTTGATTTTTAGAAAATATATATTAAGAATTATATTTAATGGACGAAAAAACTCATAATAACAATTCAATGTGCAATCAAAATCAGATATCAAAAAGTCTTCCTTTAAAAAAACGTCGTGCCTATATGATTGATACATCAACAACAAATAGTGAACAAAATGAATATTGTCCAACAAAAAAGAAACAGTAAGTTATTAAATTATACTTCCAAAGTTATAAGATTATTCGCATAGAATATCAAAATACTAAGCATTGAAAAATTCTATTTGTACTTTATTTTTTGTTTCCAGAATTTCGTCACAAGATGATTCACTTCAAATGTATATTCCATCTTCATCTATTGTTCCAACACCACCATCATCACCACATTTAGAATTATTACGTCAACAATACGCTTTTTTATTAGCTAATTCAACAAATATTATTAAACAAAATTCTTATTATCCATTAACTTTTGATAGTTTTATGACACAACAATATCTTGATAATTTTCGAGTATTAATTGAACAACAAAAACAACAACATAGTTATACTATCGTCGAAGGTATGACGTTTTTTTTCTTCTCAAGAAAAATTTCGATATTATTTTTTTAGATCAACAAAAACAAACAGATTTAACAATAGATGAACATTTTCGAAAATCATTAGGAAATAATTATAATAAATTTACTGGCCGTTGTTTAACTCCCGATGATTCATCATCAAATAGTTCTTCAATAGAACGAACATCAGGTTTGTATTATTGACTAAAAATCAATATATATATATATATATATATTTTGTGTTTGCTTAACTTTCAATGATTTTTCTTTTAGTTGATTCAATAGAAGAACATTTTGCTCGTTCACTTACAAAGTTTTGGTCATTACATCATAATACATCATCAAATGAAGATCAAACGTCATCGATTAATCATCATATAACTGAATCAATTGTTGATGATCATTTTGCTAAAGCATTAGGTTCGACAACATGGGAAAAACTTAAAGAAAAATTATGATTATATCTAGTGAAATTTTTTTGTTAATTATATTCACTTTTTCTTTATAATTATATATGATGACACTTAGTGTCATTCTTTCTCTATGACAAATAGAAAATTATATATGAAATAATAATAAAAAAAGTTCTTTTGTTTGTTATTTATTCATGATTGTTATTAATAACTAAATGTTTGTCTTTCTTGTCCAAATTCGTATAAGAAAGCATTCTAAAATAAACGTTTAATTAAAAAACTACTGTTGAATAACAGTAAATAGAAACTTTACCCAAAATATCAATTAAATCTGGTGTTATGAAGAAAATTTTTATGAATATATGCAAAAGATATGACAATCTGTATTTCTTTTTAAATAGAATAGAAACATATCTGTCATTATCTTCAAGGATGTCCCGAAGTGTGACTAGGATGGAAGATTTTTGTTAAAGTTGATCAGATTTTAGGAGCGAAGTCGAATATGTTTTTTGGATATTGATGAGCACAAACAAACAATATAACACTAAAGAAAAACGAAAATTTTTCAAGATTGAGAAGCAAGAGTTCTTGCTTCAAGCTCTTCCTTTCGCTAATTGAATTGGGACAAAGAAGAAAATCAATATCGTTTATTTATCTGTAATTTATATAATTAATTAATCTATGAACTAGAATAATCTGTATATTAATAAAAAAAATTTACTTTCAAATTATACAAGATGTCTCAAAAG